TGAGCACGGACAGACAGCAGGGGCTGCAGAAGGAGCTGCAGCCACGGACAGCCTCAATCGCCCTGCTTTTAAAAAGCCCGGGCTTGTGTCCGCGGTGAAATGAAATCACTGTAGCGGATGCACGAAGCCACCTGTACTCACTCCCGGGGGGGTGGGGGTTGGGGGCAGCCCAGCTGAGGGGCAAAGACAGCAAAGCCAGGTGGTGCCTGCCCGTGGCCCCAGTCTGGACACGTGCAGCTGGTACTGGGAAGCGCTGGAAGGCAGGGGGACACACACAGGAAAAGGCTTTCTTTTCCTCCAGCCCCAGCCCCCAGGCCTGCTCTGTGGGATCGCCGCTGCTTGCCCGTTGGCCGACGGTACCTCCCGCAAAGCTCAGAACATCTCATTCTGGCAGGTAAGAGACCCAGGCCAGTGGAAACCATCAACCTCACGTGGACCCCCCAAGCCTCATCCTGTCGGGCCTGACTCCTGGCCCAGGAACAACGCTCTCCCTCTTCCTCCACCTTTCTCCCCCTCTTTTGGGTCTTCCTGACCTCTCTCCACCAGGGAATTGGGGCCTTGGGGGAAGGATGGGAAGAGGGGAAACGTTCTTAAGGAGGTAGTGCTGTCGATGCATTCCATGTGGCAAGGACCCACCCGATGGCTCGGCTTGTTCTGCTGATGCATGTCTGATATGACACCTTCCCTGTTTGAGCCCTTCGTCACTGCCCACAATAGCTCAACCCATGGCCTGTTATTGCTGGGGCCCCCTTGCCTTGGCCTTGACAAAGGCCCAATGAAGGGCTCGATCCCACGACCCCGAGATCATGACCTGAGCCAAAACCAACAGCTGGATGCTCAACCGACTGAGCCACCCGGGTGCTCAGTACATTTGGGAAATTCTGAGCACAACGCCCTTCCAGAGTATTAATTTGGCTCACAGAAAATGCCACACCCTGACCAGACCAAGTGCAGGGGAGGGGGTGAGCACACACTGCTGCCCCCTCCCTTGTCCCACTGTTACCCTCAAGATGGATTCCTGTCCTCCAAGCTCTCTAGTCAAGAGGAAGGCATCAGTCTCTATGTTCACAAGTATCCCTGAGCCCTCCCAAGCTCTCCCCCACTCCCTTTAGGGTGACTTGGTGTTTCTGCTGCTGAGCGAGGCATCCAGCCAGGAAGGAGGCTCCAGCCTCCCTTCCTACCAGTACCCTGTCCTGACAGATCCGGTCTCAATGAGTGATTCTTCTGTGGTCCTCATTTGGCTTGGCGATGGGGGTCCTTCCTCCTCCTGGAGGAGTGGGATAAAGCCACAGCATGGCCCCCAAGTACCCCTTATTCTTAGGAACTTCCTTCCTAAATTCCAAACTTCTGTGAATACAAGCTCAAGAAGAAATATAAGGTAAAAGTTACGGAAAGAATTCTTCTATCTTAGTAAGCTCATGTGGGTACATCCAGTAGTTCCTCTTGAACATTGGGGGGCCTCCTGGCCTCACCTTGGGGCTTTAGCCAAAATTCTAAAACAACAGGAAAGCGCATTGGATTTTCTGTTCCATTAACGATGCTTTACAGCTGAGTTTCCCGGTCTCAGCACTGTTGCCATTTGGGCCAGACGCTTCTTTGTTGTAGGGGGCTGGGCCGTGCCCTGTCGGTGTTCGGTAACGTCTCCGGCCTCGACCCACTAGAGCTCCCCAGTTGTGACAACCTTTTCGGACATCACTAAACCTTCCCCGGGGGCAGGCGGGGGGGTGGGGAGCAGAGGAAAATGGCCCCCTGGTGACCACCATTGCTTAAGAGACAAGAGGAGGTCCTTGAAAATTTTGGAGCAAGGAAGTGACATAGAATTATAATCGGGGGCGCCTGGGTGGCTCAGTCGTTAAGCGGCTGCCTTCGGCTCAGGTCATGATCCCGGGGTCCTGGGATCGAGCCCCACCTCGGGCTCCCTGCCCCGCGGGAAGCCTGCTTCTCCCTCCCCACTCCCCCTGCTTGTGCTCCTGCTCTCACTCTCTCTGTCTGTCAAATAAATAAATAAAATCTTAAAAAAAAGAATTATAATCAAATGCCATTTGGTTGGTGACACCGAATGGGACAGACAGGAATGGTGAAGGCCAAGAAACGTCTGCCGTACAGATGACACCTTTTCGGTCATCCCTGCTAGGGTCTGAAGGGCTGTCATGAGCCGTCTCACTGACTTCCACTCAGACCATCCGAGGACGGCAGGGGACTGCGACACTGATGCAGTGTAAGCCTGGAGGGTGGGGGCCGCCGTGGTGAGGGCAGGAGGGCTGAGGAAGGAAGGTGTGAGTAGGGGTGAGGCATGGGGTGGGGGCTTATCCCTGGAGTCGAGGACTTTCTTTTCAGAACAGGAATCTCGTGGAACTATTTGGATCGATAATGGTGTAACTACAGTTAATTGAGAGCTCACCACATGCCACGTAGCCATCACAGATCACCCCATTTGGTTCTCTCGACAACCCTGTGAACAGGTGTCATTATTAGTCCCTGTTTGCAAAGCCAAACATGAAGGTCTAGGAGGTGAAGCCACTGAGAGATCAGAGCTGGAGATCTGACAGCGGTCGGGGCACACCCGGCGCCCTGGTGGGGAGTGTGGCAGCTTCTTTGGGACACGGGCCCCACGGCTCCCACAAGCTTCCCCCAACACTCTGCGCTGTCAGTGCTGCCGGGGGGCTGGGGGGCTGATTCCCACCGTACCGAGGAAGATACGAACAAGAAGAAAAGTGTAAAGCAACACTAGAAACCACAACTTGGTGATTCCTTATGTAGAAGTAGGTTGGGCAATCCTGACCAGGCTGTGGAATGGGATGTTCTAGTAATCTCCTCAAAAACCTGAGCCCGACGCGGCACTCGATCCCAGGACCCTGAGATCGTGACCTGAGCCAAAGGCAGACGCTTCACCGACTGAGGCCCCCAGGCACCCCTTTAAGGTGTGCATTATTACTGACGTTTACAAATAAGGGAAAGAAATAGGGGCCACTGAGGTTGAGCGGCCTCCCCCCAAACACAGGACCACCAGCCGCTAGACCCAGGAGCAGGCTCTGGCGGGCTGTGTCCAGAATCCAGCCTCCGTTCACCCGGAGCCTTGGCCCTGGCTCCACAAAAAGCCTGGGGAACATGAGGGTGAGTCCCTTGGTTTTGTTTACCTGTGTCATCAGCCTGGGTGGTGACTCTCAGCAAACATTAGTCAGCATTGATAGGACAATGTGTTCTCTCTACGGCTGTCTCCTCTTCTTGGGGAGGTGAGCAGAACAAGGAGGGTTTCTCTCTGGAGAAGCTTCCCGTGGTTGCTGTGGAGTCGGGCCTTAAGGAGGATTGAACATCCACTCAGCAGCTCATCTTGGGGTGGGAGGGGAATAGGGTCAGGAAGGAGATGGCCTCTGGGGCCCCAAATGTCATGGACCCAGCCTGGGGAGAGATGCCTACTCCTCTCCGGCCAAGCTCAGTGGGGTTCTAGGACAACAGTTCTGGGGGACATGGCCTGATGGATGGGCAGACACCCTGCTGCGCCTTCATCAGGCTGTACTTTGCTCCAGAGATCAAGGATCAGAACGGCACGTGAGCTCCCATGAATGGTGGGCCACGGTGAGTTCCCCTGGAAGCCACATGTTACCTGTAAGGCAGCCGAATGTGTCCGGTGAGCTATACTGGCAGAAAGGGGAGGTCGGGGAGTCTACGATTAAGTCTTAGTCTCCCACGACTCCAGTCATTTTCATCATGGTTCACGGTAAATGTAGATAAAAAAGAGAAGGGGAAAAAAAACGGCTTAATTAAGATTATCATTCCATTGCGTAATGTCCAAGGCTAAGGGATCCCTAAACTTTCCCCAGGAATAAAACAATTTTAATTTCTCCAAAATTGTATGACCACGGATGGATGTATTTGGACTGGAGAGTTAGCTCTAGGGTCTTCTGAGAGGACAAGTGATCGGTGGGGAACGAGGCAACTGCCATCCACAATGCCCTTTAAGAAATTCATTCCAGTTATGTGGACCCCAATTCAACAACACACGTTTACTATGCATCCGCTGTGTGCCAGGTCCTAGATCAGGTTCCTGTGGCACAGAAAAGGTAAGTAGGACTGCCATGGGCAGTTGTTCATGTTGTACACTGACAACCCTAGGGGGCGTCAGGTAAATCATAGCATAGATTTGTGTATCCATTAAGTCCTATTCCTGCAGATGGCAGGATGGTGACTCGAAGAAGATGGGCTAGATATATACAGTCTAACTGTGGTGTCAGACATAGTTTCTGCCCTCGAGGAGCTTACTGTCCGGCAAACAGTAGGGCTCCAGGACCACCAGGAAATCATAGGCTAGAAGCTGGGAGAGGTTTTCTCTTTCCATTTTAAGAACAGGCTATGTAAGGTCAGATAATGATGGAAAACAAATTAGGTGTACTCTGGTCTTTTTGCTGGTTAACAACAGAAAATTCTTTTCTTTTGTTACTACCTCCTATCAACTCCCAGGATCCAAGAATCTTCTTCCATCAAGGGAGCCTCTTCCCTTGGCCTTAGGCTCAATTGCTCCCAAACAGAACAAGGTTGTTTGTACTCATTATCCCTAGGGGGAAGAAAACAAACACAAAAAACCAAGCTGACTCTGAAAGACCATGTTTCTTCCCAATCTCACTGGGGGCGGGGGGGGGGGGCTGCTCTGAGGCAAAGCACGCCTGTGCCCAGTTTAGTCTCATGATGCCCGATCGTGGGATTTACTATTTCAGGACCCCAGCCCCATTCCCCACCCAACAGCTTTCCTCCCCCCGCTGAGAACACTTCCCCATAGCACAATAACACACCCCGTGCTCCAAGCAGTGCCAACATCATATATATTATTTTATTATTCGCTCGTTTGCTTTCCATGGCAAGTGAAAAAATAATTTAAACCAGTTATATGTACAGAGGCTTGGTTCGTTTTTCCAAGAGCTTCCAGAAAGATCCCCAGCCCCTCAGATGGCAAAGGAGGGCTTCCTTTAACATCTGTACAAAACTCCACCTATAAAAGTCGCACATGTAGAAAGGTTTCTTTATTGTAAGCATCACATTTGTGGAACAGGAAGGGGTCAGGGTGGGAGGCGGGGGAACGTGTGCAGGGTGGGGGTCCACACACATCGGCCCAGGGGTGGTCCTGGCGGCGGGGGGGGGGGGGCTGCGGCTGGGGCGTTCAGGTGATCTGCAGCGGGGTCTCTAGCATCTCCATGAGGAAGGTGTCGATGGGCGTGTCCCCGATGAGCTTGAAGAAGAACAGGTGCTCCAGGCATTTCAAGCCGATAGAGCGCAGGGCTGGGAGGCGCAGCAGCAGCTTGGCGAACCTGCAGGGAGGCCGAAGGGGCGTCAGGAGCCGGGAGCGGCCGCTCAGGGGGGTCTGCTCTCCAACCCGGGATGGGAGAGGGAGCCGGGAAGGGCCACAGAGGCAGCCAGGCAAGCTCCAATCCTAAGCAGCTTCCCTCCTACCTCCCGGGCGGACTGCGTTGTCCTCACGCCTCACTCCCCCCACCAGGACCGCGGGCCGCCTCAGTTGCCACCGCTTGTTACCGACGTGCAAGCAGCTGTTACCAACACGCGGGCTCAGCCTCCCTCTCGGTCGGAGCAGAGGGCGAACCAGTGTGCTCGTCTCTGCCCCTGAGGGGCCGTGGTCTGGCTGGGAGACAACACACACACGTGTGTACACACACTCGCACACTCTCACACGGGGGTGAATGCGACAGAACCCCACCACGGGCACACATGCACACCGGCCTCGCACATGTCACACATACACACACGGGCACACACGCGCGCGCGCGCGCAGTTGCACACTCTCATGTGGGTGTGCATGCGACAGAACCCCACCACAGGCACACATGCACACCCACATGTGCCTGACACTTGTCATGCATACGCACGTGTGCACAGTCACACATACACACCCACACACATTCTCACACGGGTATGAACATGCGCACACATAGCCCCACCACTGTCACACATGCACACACAGATGCACACCGGCTTCCTCATGTCACACATACACAGGTGCGCACACACACACGTGCACACACACTCGCACATTCTCACGTGCATGTGCATGCAACAGAACCCCACCACGGGTACACACGCACACTTGAACATACACACCGGCCTCACACATCACACACACACGGGCACACACTCATACATACGCACATGTGCACACAGTCCCAAAGGCACACCTTTACACACAACCATACACACCTGTCTGACGCGTCACACATACACACATGTGCACAGTCATACATACAACTCACACATTCTCATACATGCTCACACATGCCCTCACCACTGTCACACATGGGTGCACACACACACACACTCCTACACACCCTCACATGCATGAGCTTGTGTGCACACGTACACACCTACATACACTCACACATTCTCCTATGCTCTCGATGTCCTCGTACACGTGCACACACTCACACCTGGGCTTGCCCGCATCCTGCACACTCCTGTATGGTTAAGGACCTTGGCTGTGAGGTTCACCACAGGGAGGGAGGCCAGTGTGCGAAGAATTCGTCTCACATCTGCACATCCTTCTAACGCCCCTCAACCTGCCATGTTTTCCATCCTGCCTCAGTGGTCATTCTTTGTCTCTCAAAATCCTTTTTGCCAATGAAGCTTAATTTTTTAATGTTATTAACAGCGACTGGAAATCAGGAAGTCATAACTTCCAATAAAAGGACAAGGACCAAAACCCTATCAGCCACTCTGGCCTTAAATCAGAGACTCTGGTTAGGCTGGATCTTCAGTGAGCGTCACAACATTATTTCATGAGTGAGTTTCAAGTTGGAATTTTAATACTCCTTGAAAATGTGTATATTTCTATATTCATACCCCATGAAGGGTTAAGGAACTGGGGCAATATAAGAAAGATGAAATGGCACCATCTAAAAAGGTAGGCATTACTTCTTTACATGGAAAAATTAAAGGTCTACACCAAGGCCCACACAACCCTTCAGAAAGTGTTGATGATAAAGCTTCCGAGCGCATCTGCACGATGTCACCAAGCAGGAAGACGCAGTTAGATAGAAATGCCGAACTCCTGGTCCTAACTCTGCCATGAAAGAGTTTCAGGAGATTAGGGGAAGGGAATGGCTTCTCTGCAAATTACAAAGTTAGGCTGAGCTGTAACTCTGAAAATGTATTTATATTTAGAATGTATTATACATTCTAAAAATGCCAAAGTTTTACCATACGTAAAATACACAAGGATTTAGCATTCTCTTAGCGTTTCTTTAGCATGCCTTTGCTGACTGCCCCTGATGTGGGAACTAAGACCAGGACCGTGGAAATAAGCAGAACCATGAAAAGCCACAGCCCCAGGGAGGATGCCGTGTTCCTCCCTCACCCGCCGGCTGCCCCAGCGCAGCCTGCCCCAGTGCGAGACAATGTGCGCACAGCGTGCAGCCTCTGCGTCCTCCTGAATTTTATCTCTGCTTTCAGGCTACAGAAAGCAGAACTCGGCCTCTGCAAACTGTACTTCTGAAGAGTCTCCATTGAGTGGCAGCACTCCACCGCTGAGAGCTCTCCTCAACCTGGTGCCAGGATCCCCTTCCACCACTCTTTGCAAAGTGGAGGTGACCAGCCGTCCGCACACTCACCTACCTGATTGACCAAGTGACATCCCTGATGCACCTGCTCAGCCTCGGGGTGGTCACCCTCTGTCCAGGCTGCACTGGATGCGCCCAAGGGACACGCAGAGGGCCCAGCCTCTACACCCCCTCCCTGCACCCTCAGGTTCTGCCCTCGTCCAGCCAACAAGTAGGCAGCCCAGTCCCCTGGTAGTCCCGTTCCTAGGAGAACAGGCAAGTTCCAAAGTTTTGAAAGTATATTCAGTAGAAACAACCTAAATGTTCCAGAGGACAAGGGCTAAATACACAAGGATACATCCACCTTGTGAAATATTACAAAATCGCAGAAAAGGATAATGTTGTACTTTTCAGTATCTGATAAAGTGCCTAAAATGGCTGAGAGAGGAAAACAATACACCCAACTGTATGATTCTTCTCTCTGTAAATACACACTTCTATGTACACATGCATTGATACACAAGGATACTGGAAAAAAAATATACCCCCCAAAATTTACGATTCATTTTATTACCTACTTTATTTCTTAAATACTTCCCTTATTCCCCATAAAAGCATGCTCAGCTTTTATAATAAGGAAAAAGATTGGCTTAGGGGTTTTTTTTTTTAAGATTTTATTTATTTATTTATTTGTCTGAGAGAGAGAGAGGGAGGGAGGGAGGGAGAGAGGGAGAGAGAGAGAGCATGCGCACAAGCAGGGGAAGCGGTAGACAGAGGGAGAAGCAGGCTCCCCACTGAGCAAGGAGCACAAGGCAGGACTCGATCCCAGGACCCTGAGATCATAACCTGAGTCGAAGGCTGACACTTAACCGACTGAGCCACCCAGGCGTCCCTCAGGTTCCCTAGGTTTGTTTTTTTGTTTTTTTTTAAGAGATAAATAATAGAACCTAGAGACAATTCGAAGAAAAGGATGAGTATGAGCCTTCTTACTCCTAATGCCCTGCACACAATATGTGCTCAAAAAAACATGCTTTATGCAGCCTTCGAGCTAGAAGATTCAGTAGAAATCATCCACTACCAGGCCCTCAGGTAGCTCACACCGGCCAGGGCTGAGCAGCCAGCCCTGTCTGTTGGGTAGAGCTCTGTAACCTCACCTATTGCAGGTACAGGGGAGACTGCCAGGTGTCCACCCTCCTTCCTTGGCATACAGCTGCACCCATTCTCCAGAATCCTTCATGACTCGCTGGGCCATGAGACTGAGTTTCAGCCAGTGGCAGCGAGTGAAGGGATTTCCAAGGCCAGGTCTGCCCAGATCACAGGTCACCTCTGTGTTCCTCCCCTACCCTTTCCCCTTCCATCATCCAGATGCAGAACAGGATGTGGCTCTGGGACACGGTGGAGTCCCAAGAAGGAAGGAGTGGAGCCCTGAGTCTTGATGCAGAAGAGAGCCAGCTCTCCAAACGGACTGCCCACCCAGGACTGACAGGTGAGCCAAAAATACATTTCTATCATGTTCAACTACTGACAGTTGGGAGGTCTGTTACCCCGGCTTAGGTTCCCGACCCCTCAAGGCCTGCATATGTGTTGTACTGAAGGCCTGAAACCCACCCTCTTGGAGTTAAATAAAAAACTCCAATAAAAACCGGAGCTTGACTTCTTCTGAACAATTGATACATACTGGCTTAGGATCCAGAAAAAACAGCTTAAACGGAAATTAGACTTCACAGAGGAATGAAAACGATGCGTGAGAATTCAGAGCATGTAATATTAATCCCAAACACAAAACTAATGTCTTTAAGGCAGTTTTGTCAGTTTCATTTTCGGATTTCTGTGAGATCTGAGGAGCGCATTCTCTCTATTTAACTAGAGTTAGCCGAGGAGGAACAACTTTTGTTTAGCTGTGCTTTGGGGGAAACATTTGAAAAAAGTTTTTTTGTTTTTTTTTAACGACTCAGGAACACCTGAACGGGTAGAGGGCCTCAGAGATCTTCCGACCAGTGTCCTCCTCTTTATACAAGGACCCCAGAGCCAGAGCCAGCACCTTGCCAGATACCACACAGATGGCCCTGGGGGACAGGGGTCACGTGTCCTGGCTGCCCCCAGTCTGACTGGAGCTTCTAGCACGGGGCTTCCATGGGGCAGAGCAGAAAGCAAGGCCTGGAAAGCACAAGCTCTTTGCAATCAGACAGACCTGAGTTCACATCCCAGCCCCACTGCACACCAGCTCCGTGATCTCGGGCAACTGCCTTACCCCTTTGGAGCCTCGGTGCCTCGTTAGAAACTGGGGATAATGAGGCCCACGTTCATTTGTTCATGGGCTTGTTCATTCAACATTGAAAGCTGTATGCCGGGGCGCCTGGGTGGCTCAGTCGGCTAAGCATCTGCCTTCAGCTCAGATCGTGATCTCAGGGTCCTGGGATCGAGTCCCGCGTCTGGCTCCCTGCTCAGCAGGGAGCCTGCTTCTCCCTCTCCTCCCTGCTCATGCTCTCCCTTGCTCTCTCTCTCTCTCTCTCTCTCAAATAAATAAATAAAATCTTTAAAATAAATAAATAAAGCTGTACACTATGTGTCAGGCACGTCTCAGGCTCTGATTCCGGAGTGGGGAACGGCACACAAGATAAGACCTCTGGTTTCATGAAGCCAATGTTTTAGCAGCTTTCAGCTTGTTATAAAGATTAAATAACACGTGAAAGACCTAGACAGTGCCTGCTGCATGCTGCCATGGATTCAGGGCAAGTAGGAGGCATCACCTGCTGCCATAGATTCTTCCAGCCCTCCCTCACCTGCCAGGTTGTTCCGGATACTTCTGCTTTGTGTAGGCCTCGAGGGTAGCATAAACCTTCTCCCGCAGAGTCTCCACCTCCGAGGGGTTGGACAGCCCCTTGGCATCTGGAAAAGATGACTGATTTAGCCTCAGGTGACACAGGTCAGGTGGACCCCCTTCCACAGGGGGCTGTCCCCACCCACTCAGGCCTCTGCCCCAAGAGTTACTACAGACAGGGAACAACAGTGAAAAAACAAAGCTGAGGGTCCTTTGTGCCCCCAGCTCTCCTCTCTGTGCCCAGTCTACCCAACAGACTCTTGGAACAAAGGTGTAAAACCCTGTAAATAGCCAAAGGCCCCCACTGCTGACCCCAAGGAGGAGAGTTCTATTTTATCTGATCATTCTAGAAATATTACATTCACGAATTTACTGAGTGCCTACTATGTGCTAAGCACGGACAGGATGATGAGATGGGGTACAAAAACCAGCTCCACTCGCTAACAACCTAATTCATGAGATGAAGCACGGGCCTGAATTACCATGGAATTCTGAACAGCCATCTTTCCTGACCCACAGCAGCTTTGGACAAAGCTGATCACTTTCTCCTTCTCGAAAAACATTTCCTCCCTGGGCCTCCAGGACAGCCTCTTCTGCTTCTCTCCCTGCCTCTCTCTGTCCTGTCTCAGGCTCCCCTGTTGGCTCTTCCTTTCCTCCCCAACCCCTGCACGAGGGCTCACCCCAGCGCCCAACACCCAGCCCCCTCCTCTGCCCCACCTTTCCTGACGCCCACATGCACCGGCACCTGCCTCAGAGCCCCACATGCTGGGTAGAGGCTGACAGCTCTCAAACGCACATCTCCAGTCCTGACTTCCCCTCTGAACTCCAGACTCATAAACAAGGCTTTCCTGGCCGGCTACTCCTGGATGTCTACTATCCACCTGAGAACTGAATGCACAAGACAAAGTCCTAAGTCCTACCCGCTCACCCTTAGGACCCCCATCTCAGCAAATAAAACTCCACCTTTCCAATTACTCAGGAAAACGAAACAAAACGTGCTGGGAATTACTTTTAATGCGGCTCTTTCATACACTATCTCTAATCCATCAGCAAATCCCATTGGCTTTGCCTAAAACTCTATGTAGAATCCGACCACTTTTTACCACCTCCTTCACCATGACCCTAGAGGCCGCTATCCTCTCTCGTCTCCCCCATCCGCCCCAAATAGGCACACTCCACGCCCATTCGGGACACTTTCGAGATGGCACTAGGAGCAGAAACCATGAAGAATCAGCTTCCCGCCTTCGCCAAGGACAGGTTCCTCGGCCCTGCCTTGTCTCAGCTGAGCTAGAGGACCAGAGGATGTCAGAGCCTGGAGGCCAAGCACAGAGGAGGGCGAACCACTGCACATCACCTGGGTTAAACAGCACGATGGCTCGCAGGCACCCCAGCTCCGACTTGTCCATCTGCATGTCTTTCATTTTGGAGACCAGCTCAGTCAGGACTCTGTTCACAGGAAAACGATGAGAGGCAATGAGAAAACCACGAGTCCCAGGCCAAGGGCTGACACAATGAATGCAACCAAGACTTCTTATGCACCCACCCCATTTTCCAGATGATGCACTGGTACTAGGGGCACGGAGATGAATAGGATGCCGTCCCTGATCTCAAGGAGCTCACCATTTAATTGAAGAAACAGACATGGAAACAATAGGTCGCAACATAAAGCCAACAAATGCCAGGAGCCAAGTCCAAGGGAACACCCAGGGGGAGGAAGCGGGGGGTGAGGGGGGCTGGACACTCTGGGAGGGCTGGGAAGGCAGCCTATAGGATTTAGAAATGCAACCGGCAAAGCAGGGCGAGGGTGTGGCATGTCTGGAGGAAGAGGGCAGAGGGCAGTATCCAGAGACAAGGTAGAAGACTCCAGGGGTCACAAAGAGGGCTGAGTCGGCCAAAAACCCCGTTGGTCTCTGCATGGACCGCGCAGTGGGAAAGGGCAGGGAGGGAGCAGAGACACCTTGCGTGGATGTGCACCTGGCCTGGAAGATTATTTCTCGTGGAAATGGAAAGGGGCCGTGGGGCCCTGGCTCCAGACAGAGAGGCTATTTTCAACCCTAGCCTCCTCTTTACCAGCTCTCCATCCCTTTGTCCCAAGCCATTCACTCCTCCTCGTTTCATCCATCTCTTTAAATCACATGCCTTCATTTTCCTTTCATGCCACTTAAGGCAGAGAATCCCAGAGGGAGGCTGCGGCTGCCTGACTGAGGTGGGTCTGCTCCTGCTGCAGATCTTCCCCAGAGATCCTGCTACAGAGTCCAGCAAAAACCTCAGCTCATCTCTCCCGCCTCCTCAAATCAGATCCTGGCTGCCTGTCCCCAGTCCAGCCCCCTACGATAAGCAGTTCAACCTCCCCCCCGCCAAACCTTCGAGGTAATGTCCATGATCCAGTCCCTCCTTTGGAGACCTCTGGAGATAACAGGTTCTCCCTTCTGCCCAGCAACTCTGCTGGTCCCTGACAGGCTCCATCAAGTCGTTTCAAATGTTCTCGTAATCCACCTGTCATTCTCCAGGTGTCTGTTCGCGTGTATTTCATGGTCTCTGCTTCTTGCCCCATGCGGCTGTTAGGGTGGTCTGTCCTGCATCCCAGCACTACCCCCAAGCCCACACACTCACACGCACACAAACACACACACACACACACACACACACACTGGAAGCAGAAGAGAGCCACCTGTCAAAGATGGAGCCAACACCAGCACTGTGGGCACTGCTCCGGTGGACATGTAAGCCCGTGGCCAGGAGAATGCCATCCTGCACGGAGACGGAGCGGTGGGAGAAGGAGGCAATCAGCAGCTCATTCCACCCTGCAGGCAGAAGAAGGGGGCCTTGAGGGAAAACTGACCACATTCTTGCTTCACTGATGATCACCCAGGGCATGTATTGTGACCCGCATGGAACAAAAGCAGAATCAGAAATGCAGGGAGGTTAAAAACGAGCTCCAGACAACACAGCTAATTAGTGAAGAAACAGGGTGAGACTAGGGGCCCCTGTCTCATGGCCCTGCACATCCCCCACCGTCTCCCCAGTACAGCTCAGAATGGCAGCTTGTGGATGAGGACTTTTTCCCCCAGTCAACACCTATGAACTGCACATTGGACAGGTAATAGTCAACATGTTAGCTGCCCTGGTGGATAAAGCAAGGGAGTATACCTTGCAGCCTCTGCCCCCAGGACCTGACAACCCAGTTTTATTTCTTTGGTGTTGCCTGGCAGCGCCCAGCACAGCACAGAGCTTCCGGTCAACACTCAGAGCCTGCTCATTGTCTCAGAGGGATGAAATGAGCGTCTGGCTCCCAACGCTCAGCCAGTCTTCATGAAATCTCCCCGCTGGCCTGGTCACCAAGAGGAGGTGTGGCATGTGTCACCTGCACAATGTCCCGGAAATGGAAACCAAGACAGCATACAGCACACAGAACCTTAGCGTAGGAAGGGACCCTGGATAAAGGAACTTGAACAGACAAACTTTGGCTTCTCTTATCTCATCTGTGAAATGGTAATGCCTCTATTTCCCGACAGTATGATAACAAGGAGGCACTGCTTTAGACTGCCCTCAATAAAATTGACTTAACTGTCTTTGAAAATTAAATGCAAATTATAAAACCACAGTAAAATTTGCAGGGAAGAAGAGCCTCACCCTCCATTAACAATGTTTCACTTGGTAATAAAAGTTGTGGAGGAGGGGCCACCCAAATGTAAGAGCCTGTAATTAACAGAAAAAGAATAACTCTGACAGGGTTATCCTGTCATCACCATGGCACACAGACGGGTCACAGCTTCATCAGCTGACTTGACTTAGGATCCCAAGGGTAATTTCAAAATGGCAGCCCAAGTGATTGTCCCAAGGAAAAAACAAACCCCAACGTCCTTTACCTGCCCGGAGCAGAATGACCTGGTCCTCCAAGGTGAGGTCAGAGAAGTGGGGGATGCGCTTGGCCCATTCAACAAGAGTGAAAAGCTGCTTATCAGCAGCGTGGCATATGTTGGTAACAGGGTCATTCGTCTTAAAAAAAAAAAAACAAAAACCAAAGCGCTGTAAGGGGCAGGCTCCAGGACTCTAGTACACCCCTTTCCCATCTCCAGCCCCACCAAGGAGTAGGAGGTGGATGGAGGTCTCAGACCACATACCGAGTTCTCCATGTTCATATCACCGTAGGATTCTGTCTTTGGTTCGACAGCAAGTTCAGCTTCTAGAATCCTCTCCACAGGCATATCATCATGGCCACTACTGGCACATTCTGCCTCACTCTCGGCCCGCTCCCGGCTCCTCTGCCTTTCTTCTTGCACAGCTGGTACACAGGAAGACATGCAGATGTCACCACATGCCCAGGACAACTGTGGGAAAGCGGGTTACCTACCAGAGCTTCCACTGCCTCATCTGTAAAATGGGCATCCTCATGGTCCCGGATCAGGGATGTCATAATGTTGACAGATGAAACACAGCAAGCAAAGTCATTTGCTTATGCACGTGTACACCTGTGGGCTCTTTAGTCTGTATCCTTCCTGGTTCATTATGGTGACCAGTTTCAGGAGTTTGCATTTCAAATTTTAATAACCTCTGATCCTGCCCTCTCTTTTAAGGAGCCACTTTCTCCTTGGTCTCCTGGAGTCTCCTGTGTTTCACCTCTAGCTGCTCCCTCTAATGAACTGTGGGCATGCAATGGTTAAGTAGCAATCACCTTACTTCAAAAACTCCCTCTGTCAGATCCTATGCATCATGCTTGCCATTCACGTCCCATTAGGTCTGGCCCTAATGCTCCAGCCTGAACACAACATCACCTGATCCAACTTGTCAGGGAAGATCTTCAGGGAGCCATGAGGGTACTTAGTAAGTGAAGAGGTGGAGGAATGTCACCTAGATGACATCTCAGAGTCAGCAGCTGATTTTGGGGGTGGGGAAGGGTACACAGGCAGAGGTGTGGGCTGGAATGATCTCTGCCCCTCCACACTTGGGTTTTCACCAAAGTTCATTCTAACCCTCAGAGCCCTAAGGGTCTGTACATGAGGATGTCAGGCAGACCCCCTTCCCAATGCTGTCCTCTCTGTTAACAAACATTCTCTGTTGGGTTAGTTTCCATAATCTAGAAAGCTGTGGTTTCCATCTTCCTATTCCCAGCATTAAGGGGCAAAATTCAATATTGGTATACTTTTTTTTTTAATCCCAAGAATCAAGAAAATTATCCTCTAAGCAGGTGACTAATCTGGATCTTGAGAGGCTAATGAGGCACACAGGCTGCAGAATGAACTGGAACCAGATGCTGGGCATCCAGTTTGTCACATAAGTGATGTCAGTGACCCGTCAATGTAGGTCAGAGAAGGGTATGACTGCAAAAACACAACTCACACTCCAAAGCCTCCAGGAGAGACACCCGAAGACACATCAAGATGAGAATGATATTCAGTGGTTGGGACGGAGGGAGGGAGGGTCGGAAGGAAGGAGTAGAGGGAGACATGGAATAAAGAGAATAAAGCAGGGCAGTGACAAGAAGAAGAAACAGAAGGGAGAGAGAATAAAGACAAATTAGGAAAGAGGAGAGCAAAAGTCATGGACTTTGGAGTCCAAGAAGTCTTTTTCAAAATGGGCTCTACCACTTCCTAGCTAAAGGACAGTGGACATATGACTCAGCCCACTCAGCCTCAGTTTCCCTAATGTAAAGTGGGGATTACCATACTTGAGTGAGGTTGTTTGGGGAAGATTAAATGAAATAATTATAAAAAGATCCCAAAAATGTAGTTTTCCCTTCCCTTTGTCTCTGTTTGTGCTCCTGAACTTCTGTCTGGTCCTCTCTCTATCTCCCCTTTGGACCTCTTCCTCCCTCTTCCTGTTTCTCTTCCTCCCTCATCCTTCCTTCTGGTCCACTCTGTTAGTCTTCACCCACTGACAGCATACAAACATGACCATATGTATTTTTATTATCAGCTGGACTGACTGGTTAAAGTTGAGTGCTTCTTGTATTAATTGTTTTAACGTAGGTTAATAGGCTTCTATTCGTCTTGATTTTAAAAGATGGGGAGAAGCAAACTAAGTTAAGTTTCCTTTGTGGTCCTCAATTGATTTCTTCTACAGATTTGTAACATGGAAGGAGAATAACCTTCAAGGTTCAAAGAAAATAACCTTGGCTCCCAGGAAGTAGATTCTAATTCTAATCTTGCCATTTAATCAAGTGATCCTTTGCTATTCCTCTCTTCTCTTTGTGCCATAAATCTTACTGTCATAGAAGAGGAGTCATATATCTGTTGCTGGGGGAAATCTTCTATGTGGCAGACATTCTGAGCTACCATACTACACACATTTGGGATATATCCAGGGGACACTGGGTGACCTAAAAGAGTACCAAACTTGGCGCCCGTGGGTGGCTCAGTCGGTTAAGCGTCTGCCTTCGGCTCAGGTCATAATCTTGGGGTCCCGGGACTGAGCCTTGTGTCAGGCTCCCTGCTCAGCGGGGAGTCTGCTTCTGCCTCTCCCCTACTCATTCTCTAATAAGTAAATAAAGCCTTCAAATAAATAAATAAATAAAATCGTACAAACTCCTGCCTTCTAACAGAATTTTATCCATTAGCCCAACATACATTTATTGCACATGCACTATAATAGCCAAAATTTATGGAGTGTTTTTTCTCTGTGTCAGGAATTATGCTCAACACTTTACATAGATTATACTTTGTTGAATCCCCACAATAACCCTCTCAAGTACTATGAGCCACAGAGTAGTTACATAACCTGCCAGAGGTCCCAGCACTAAGAAAAGATGGAGCCAACATGTAGACCTGGGCTGACAGCTTTCTCAGCCCATCCCTCAGCCCTTGTACCGCCTCCCAGGTTCTGGGCTGGTTGTACTAATAAAGACCACACAGGGCTCGAGAGGGATGTCAAATGCAGCCCCCTGAACTCCCTCAAAAATATCCATTATCTAACTATCCACACTCCAGTAAATGATCAGAAATCATGGAAATAGACTTCCCAAGACCCCTGAGGGTTATTTGGTAGCTTGGAAGTCAGAGGGTCCCGGTCCTATATCAGCTCCACCATTAACTTGCTCAGTAAGCTTAGTCAAGTCCCTAGGCTCTCAGGACCTTTGTTTCTTCTTTCAGGAAACGAATGTGTTACATCTGAGAATAGCAAATGTCCATTCCAGCTTCACCACTATGTATCCTGAAAAGGCAACGGGTCCTGGCCCCTGGCTCCTGACAGACACATTTTGAGCCCATCCCCACGTCCCTCCTTTTCTATCTATTCAACTCTTCCAGAAGTATCGATTCAATAGTTTCTCTCAGTTAACTGTTCCAGAATTTTGTTATTCTTGTCCTCAAGGCAGTGTCCAACCTGAGCCCCCGATTCTGTAAATCAAGGTCAGAAATGAGAGTGCTGAAGAAAAGGCTGCCGAGCAGCTTTCCGGAAGTGGCCCTTCCTATAGTGATACCAGGGACCCATTCGCTCCTTTGCCGTCTCTTCATCAGGGTAAATAGTACCAATTCCTTTCGAAATTTCTCTAAGAGCCCCTTTCCCCTCTGAATTTTTACTACTCAAGTTTTCATCACGCCTATTTCTCCACATTCTTTTCAAAAAAGCAGAAGCCATCGCTTCTCAGCCTTTTGGCTAAGATCAAGTATAAAAAAGCAGAAGCCAAAACTAGACACGTCTCCATCAAAGTGTCAGAACAATGCCAGGTTTAAAGGAAGGACTGTCCAGGCCCTTAGAATTCAGATGCCCCCATCTGACTGACTTTTTCCTTCATGAAAGAGCCACGCTTCCTGCCCTTTGTGCGCCAACCCTCTAACTGTAACGGAGCTGAGGGCTGCTGGGGCTGAGGTTTGAGAGACAGATGGTGAGCAGCAAACATGGCTGCTTGGCTGACGGAAGCATTTCACCTGCCTTTAGTTCAATCTCATCTGCAGAAGGAAAATGATTATTTTTCCAAGTCATCCTGAAACTTATCTCATCTGTCCTGAGAGACAAAAATGACCCCCACAGCCATCATGCTCTTGCTGATGGGAGACATTCTTTGGGTCATTCGTTTTACGTTTGACCATCATGGTGGCAGAAGCCCTACGGAGCATCAGTTCTATCTTAGTGAAGAGAAGACAGTCTCCACCAGCTGATTTTCCGATCAATAAGATCATTGACTCCTTGACAGCAAGAATGACATGAGCATGAACCAGTCACTCAGTTAATACTTGCTGCATGAGTGAATGAGTCCTTTTAGGAGCTCCTGCATGACTAAAACTTCTGACTCCAATATTCAGTTTAAACTGCTCACCCATTCATTCAGCAATTATATATTAAATGCCCACTCTGTGCTAGTCACTGGTGATATAGCGGGGAGGGGGGGAAGCAGAAAAAATCCTTGCCTTGGTGGAGACAGATAGTAAACAAAATAAATAAGTATGTTAGATATAGTGATTCACCCTGTGGAAAAGAGACTACGAAGTACCCGGGGTGCCTGATGCAATTCTAGATGGCGTAGACAAGCAAGGCTTTCCCTAGAAGTTGACAATTGAGTAAAGGTCTGAAGAGAAGAAGGGAGCCATGCGGGCACCTGGGAAGTGGGCATTCCAAGCCCTCTTCACTCCAAGAGAGACAGTAAGTGCAAAGCTCCTGGTGGCCCAACAGAGACCAGCAATGCTGGACCAGACAGACACGGGACAGTCAGACCATGCACAACCTTGAATTCATAACCAGGATTTTGCCTTTTTTCTGAGTAAGAAGGGGAAGGGGCTGGAGCATTCTGGGACAGGAAGGGACTGACCCAAGCCACTTGTTCAAAGCCTCACTGGTTGCTCTTGGAGAGTGTAGGAAGACAAAGATGGAAGCAGGGGGAGTTCTTAGGAGCCTGTGTGGATTATTACAGAAGGTAGCAGTGGCTTATGCTGGTAGCATGAAAGTCATGAGACATGGAAAGATTCTGGACATATTCTGAGGGAGAGACAGGATTTCCTCACCCACTGATTGTGGTATATGAAAGAAAGAGGAACCCAGTGGTTTTTCATCTGAGTAACTGTAAAAAAAAAAAAAAAAAAAAAGGCTATTTCCTAAAATGGGGAAGACGGGAAGGCTGCGTGATGAACAGGCTGGGAGGCCAGATCATCAGGAGCCCAGGTTTGGGTCTGCCAACTTGAGATTTCTGTCAGATAACAGAGTGAGGGCCATCCTCGTTCCAGAGCGCCTCCACACCCGGGCAGGAGGGGAGGCTCCAGATGGGCTCTGATCTGGGAGGAAGAAGACCCACTCTTGGCTCATCACCTACCTGTGGGACCTTGGAAAACTCACTTCACCAATCCACATGGTTTCCTCCACTGTAGAACAATGGGTGCTATTAAATTATTCTGAAGGGCCACCTCCATCCATCTCAGACATGCTAAGAATGTCCATTTTTTCCTTCTTGGTAGCATTCTCTCCCAGGAGGGGCTCCAAGAACCTTTTCTTCATTGATCCTTTCAGTCAGCCTCCCCTCTCCCAGAGAAAAGAAGTTCATGGAGAACGAGGAGTTTCACCTGGGGCTGACTAAAATGCCTCGCTCCTACTTCTTGGAGAGAGGCAGGACTTCCTCACTCTGAAATCTAGTAAGACGCACCATTTACGTTATGTCCTTGCTTGAGTTCACGAGTTAATTAACTGCCCAGTTCGATTTATTTGTGTTTTTTAACAGAAAGACTTTTCGATTTTCTAAATGAACAGAAAGCACTTTCAGATTTTTTTTTCTCTCTACAACAACCCAGCGAAGCCACACTGTCAACTGAAAGACATAACGTTCTAAAAATGTACAATGATGGTCTCTCTGAATGAGAAGGCTACGTCTGATTACTGGTAAAGCCAATACTCCTCCCCAGCCCAATACCACGGAATACACCAATCTCAGATCTGTGGCAGCCCAAGGTTATAAAAGCCCAGAGAGACGACTCAAACCAGCAGGCTTTCCCCCATGAGAATTAGAGGCGAGGAGTCTGCTCCGCCCAGAAAGGCAGTCGAATGATCCGAATGATCCGCTTGTGGGGTGCTGCACCGGGACCAGGACACCAGCTCCTGAGACTTGCTGCCTGGCTCACAGAAGAGCCAGGGAGAGGGTCCAGTGTGCGGACCATCCCCTAAGCTCCGGGAGAGAAGACTGAGCATGGGGGGAAGAAGGCACTCCTGCTCTCTTTGCCCTGGGGCACCCACTGCCTAGGGCTGGGTCGCACAACCGGGATCCTCGGGAGATCATGAGGGCTCCTGCGTGCTTTACTGCAGTCGTCCCGAGGGGGCAGGGCCTCACCTTCCCTCTTCATGCCCATCACCAGGCACTTCTGGTAGCGACAGTACTGACACCGGTTCCTTTGACGCTTGTCAATGAGGCAGTCTTTATTATCACGGCAGGTGTACACAAGGTCTTTCCTTATGGTTCTCTTGAAGAAGCCTTTGCAGCCTTCACAACTGTACACGCCGTAGTGCTTTCCTGCTCACAAGAACAAAAGTTAACCCTGCAGAGACCACCCTCGGGTTTATTTGGCTCTTTCACTCACAAGAGCCCCCCCCCCCCCCCCGGCTCTCCCCCGGTGGCCCTGGCACATCACCTGGGCACCAGGACGTGCCACAAAGAGCAACCAGCGGAGAAGGCAGGCTTGATCACAGGGACCAAACGAAGGCAGAGTAAATCTGCCCTTCCTCGTGTCTCTCCCCTCCCCCCTCTCCCCGCCCCCAGAATCGCCCGTTCCAGAGAGCATGATTAGAAAAGTCCTGACCCAAGATTTTGTTTACATTTATTTTATTAAGGCAACTCTTGTGTTTAGTTAAGCAAAATCTTCTGTCTCCATTCAAGACATTAGTATACATAATAAATAAAAATATTTATGCTTGCTATGTAGTATCTAGCAGGAAAAAAAAAAAAACCAAAAACAAAAACCTCAGCTTCACTAATATTTCCCCATAATTGAGGCCCAAAGACATGGGAGCCCCATTGAGAAGTATTCTCTTTCACCACAGACTAGGAACAGGAACCTGAGTTACGGATTTTCTAGATGCTCTTGCCTATTGGAGAAATAAATTGGTATATGATCTTTAGAGCATAAAAGGACGTGCAGTCTTGTAACATAAAGATCTGATGGAAGGTGGTTTTGCTTGGTCTAGAAAATTCTGTTACATGTTTCATTGTCTTTATTACGTGTTCCACACAGTTTTCAATGACCCCAGCCACGGATAATTTGTGTCAAGAGAGCCACCACACTCACTGGACACGGGCACCAAGAATCAATCACAACCCTCCTTCTAAGCAGCCCTTCTCAAATCTACACACCAGGCAGCAGTGCTCAATTGAATTGAAGGTGGGACTTGGCAAATAGAAGGAAGCAGATCATTTGAAATATATTTACCCCAAATCTTCAGTGTAATACGTGATGCTGTTTAGCTGTAGACCTGACATTACTTTCTACTTCAGTTATATTTAGGCTGATATAAAAGTGAATGTGAGGAAGTCCTTGAGAACCAGTCAACATACAAATTTGCATCCCAGGAGCTGACATGTCAGAGGAAGCCACCCTAAGAAAAAATGATGGCTCCAGATAGCCTGCCTGATGAAGCCAGTCTGGGCTTAATCAGTTGACCAGGCCAATCCACTGAATGCATAGCAATAATAAATACGGGATTTTTATCTTGGGCCTTAAAATCCTAATGCTCTCAACTCTGAAGTATTTGTCTTTGAGAAACACGGTACCTCCATGTCAATCCCATGACTCGCCCATTTTTGAGTGAACCTCCCAGACTTTCAAACAAGGCATAGCAGAGGAAACTCTGCTTGGGTGTGGCCGGCCTTCTGTTGCTATGGCAATGTCCAAGTCTGCATGATTTGGCAACCACTTTGTGAGAGCAAGCAGACATCAGCCACATAGCGAAGTCAGTTCCAGGCACCAGGAACTTTCGGTGGAGTGAATTTTGCAGTGGCTTTGGTGACAACAGGAAGGTGAGGAATCCTCAGTCGACTACCATGGACAGCCATAGAAAAGAACCTTCCCCATCTGCTCATTCATCAAAACAGAGATTCTCGTGTCCTCAAAGTGGTGGGATTGGGGGTGGGGGAGAGAAAGGAGAAGTCAGGAAAGAAATCATCTGGGCAAAAATAGAAGAGGATCAGAAAAGATGAAATCTGTGAAAACACATTGATTTCTACCGATGAAAACATGTTAAAAACCTAGAATGTTCTAGAAAGAAATATGCTAAAATAGTAAAGTCTTTATCTTTGTCGGGAACATTATAGATAATATTTTTAGGTTTCTTTTGTGCTCTTCTAGTTCTTTCCTACACTGGGACATTTCCTACACCGGGACAATATTTTTAGAATTATAAAAAAATAATTTTTTTAAAAAAATTAAAGAGATACTTGCTAATTACAACAGCTTCACTATCCCACATACACGGTATGCAACACGGCAACTCCAAAGACGTGTTTCTGAAATGCTTCCTATAAATCCAATCCTTAAAAATGAACTCATATTTAAAATTCACCCAGATTTCAGGCTATGAATCCAGTGACAGAAATTTACAGCCTGGGCCGCACGCTGGACCCTAAAAGGCTCTTTTTCTTCCATTGGGTACAAAGTAGCCAGGTGAGCAGGGAACAGGCACCATCTCTGGGACCCTCACTGGACGGGACCCCCGAGAGTGGCGTCTGCTTCTACATGTACCTGAGGATCTGTCCCCACAGATGGCACAGATGTGTTTCACCAGAGATCCGGGGCTGGTTGATGGGTAGTTCATGTTTCCAATCCCAGGAAGCCCTGGTAAGGGCTTGATGTCCTCTGAAATGCTGACACTGTTGACCTCATTTAGCTGCAAGGGAAAACAATACAAGTAAACATGGAGCCAGGGTAGACCCAACATCTGAGACGGAAAGCAACAAGGGTATCCTCGCGAAAAAAAAAAAAAAATTCTATTTCAAGAAGTAGTTTCTAAGTACGGAGTATCCGAAACTGCCTGTTGGGGGATATGAATTTAAGGGAAGAAAAAAAGTAACACAGAGGAACTAAATCATTTCTAGACACCAACACCTAAGTCAAACATCACAACACATTATCAGAATTATTATTTTACTCATTTTACTCATGTGTTTCATTAGAGCTGGAAATCCACCCTGGACACACTTAGGACAAGTCTGTTGTATATTTTTAGATTTTTGTAATAACGACTGACTGTCTATTCAGCAGTGCTCCAAGAGGAGCTACGGCTCTCAGGCAAAAGACTTAGACTCCAAGAAAGCCAAGCAAAAAAATGCAAATCCATTCACTGAGTCAATCAACAGACACTCACTGAGTGCTCACCCTGCAGGCACTGTGCCAGGCTCTGGGGTACAAAGGTGAGGTCTAAAAATGCACTCTTAAGGAGTTCACAGTAAAATGGAAGAGAAGGTCATCTCAATGAGCCCACAGAGGATGCTAAACCAAATGCCCAAATCATTGCAGTAGCGCCAAAGTTGGGTAGAAAGTCCCAGATCGTGGTTTTGAACTTGACCGTAAGGAACGGGACGGGCCATCTTCCTGTGAAACTGGAAAATCTGTACAGCCGGGGACCGTCTGCTTTGTCTTCCCCATGTCCGACGTGGTCCTGGCACGAGGTAGGGAGCTGGCGTGCCCAAATGGCTGAAGAAATGAACGTGTGCATCCCTGTCCTCTCCTGTGCCAAGGTCACATTGGCTTCTCACCACCACCACCTCCATGTCTCCCAGGGCTCGGGGAGATTACCGAGAAGCCGCTGCTTAGTGCTCTGTATTCATCAAAGAAATCATCAATACATATGACTACGTCGTCCAATTAGCAGAAACTGTGAGTGCCCATGGGCACAGCTCAACCTTCTAGGCACTGTGAAGGGAGACAGAAAACCTAGAAGATCTCTCTTTCCTCAAAAATGCACACTCTCATTGAAGAGTGGGGACGTGCACAAAAATTAAGAACACTTACAAGTAAACTCACAGGTGGTGCAGAGTATGCACGTGTTTAAGTGCCCAGCAGAAACACATGGTAACTCTGGGAATTTAAGAGTTTCCACTGACGTCTATAGGGTCTATGTGAATTTTGAATCATACTGTCTCCCCAAAGTGACAGCAATTCTCAAACTAAACCAAAGGGAGGATTTGTTTCTCTATTCAAGGCCTTTGGGACAGAAGGAATGATCAATAAAACATAAAACACAACATAGCCTGAGTTACGTTCCTTCTAAATTTACCAGCTTTTCAATTCACTAAGCAAATATTTATTGAGCACAGGAGGTGGGCAGAGGCTCGGGTCAAGGGCAGTAAGGGATGGAGAAAAGACAAGACAGCCTGCAGCTCCTTGCTTTGAAGTCCAAGTCACCAGGAATTTTTAAAAATTATTTGTACAAAGGATGAAAACACACATGCGATGGGAGAATCTCTCTCTCTTCTTCTCCCCCACTTTTTATACAAGGCTAAGACAAGACATCTAGAACTTGTGCCCATTATTTTGCTTTGTTTTGGTGTCACACCATGGTTCTCAGCCCCGGATGTATACCTGGGAGATTTAAGGGGAAAAAAAAAAAAAAAACAAAAAACAAAAAACAAACAGATGCCAGGGCTCCACATCCAGAAATTGAGTCAGTAGGTCTGAGCGCCATTGGTACTGCTATTTCTCTAGGTTTGCCAGGGAATGCTAATATGCAGCCAGGGCTAAGAATCACCAGTTTGGCAGGAAAAACATCGCTTTGGGGTCCCATGGAGCTGGGACCGACTCCCAGTCTGCCCTTACCAACGGCATGACTTCAAAGAAGTTACTTATCTTCATCCGCCCTCAGTTTTTTGTAAAATGAGCCTAGTAAGATCTAGATTACAGAGGCACTGGGAGGATTAGATGACAGAACGCTGGAAAATCCCCATCATAGTGCCCGGCACACAGTAGCGGTTCCATAAATTCTGGCTCTTATCATTCCAACAAAATCTGGTTAATCAAGACAAGACTTTTGAGTGTTTCTTATCAGCCAACACTCACTCTGTGCTAGGAATTCTGCAGTAAATGAGCCCACATTCACCAAAGGGGTTAAATGATTCCATTTCTTGGCGGGGGGTGGGGGGGGTCAGAAAACGAACGTTGTCATGATATTAGGTTATCATTACTTCAGATGTGGGACATATTTAGATGTGTACTCATTTTTAAGAAATAGGTTGAGGGGGTTTCTGTTGGTGTAAATTTTAGGTGACAACGTTTCTCGAGCGCCTTGGTGAAACAGATGTCACCACTTAGATCCTCCCAAATGGAAACATTTTAGGTCAGATGACCCCGGACAAAGAACCCTCTGGCTGACCAAGGCTCTGTCCCCAAATCCTCAGACTGACAAACAAGGATATGGGAATAAGGAGGAGGGCGCCACCACCTGAGGCTCAAGAGACCCCCACTCCCCTTCCCCTCCCACGGCCAGGTCCCGTGGGACCAGTTCGCCACCTGCAGCCTGGGGAGGTCACAGGAGGCAAGTACTGTTAATGCTGTTAGCAGTACCCTCTACAGAAGGCTTGCTTGGTGCTCACAACAACCCTATGAGGTCATTCTAGTTTCCAGATGAGGGAACTGGGCCTTAGAGCAGTTTATGTGTGTGTTCATTCAGAAATACTATGGCGATACAGAAAGGAGGAAGATGGCAGCTGCCTCAATGGGACTGGCCACTGATAAGGTTAGAAGTCAGTGGGGCTTGTTTAGGAAGGAAAGGCCCCAAACAACTGAGATTAGATTAGAAGGAAGACTACTTGAAGAAGGTGGCATCTGAGCTAGGGCTTCGTAGTCTTCAAAAGTGGATAAGACTCGGATGGGCTGGCGATGGGCTAAGGGCCCTGAGAGCAAAAGTCCCTGAGGGAAGCCCGGGGGCTCGTGTAGGGTGTGGGTGCGTGGGAGGTGCCTGGCTAAGGAGAGTGGGTTGAATCTTGAGAGGCAATTAAGAGCAGCCACTGGAGGTTTTCAGCTGAGGAATACTGCTCTGCCTCAGGGAAGGAAATGAGGCAGCCGCTCACGGAAAACCTGGAGGGAGACACTGAGGCTGTCGATCTGCCCGGTCGCAGGTTAGGTGTCTTCCCAGGCTAACGGGCTGGAGCTAGGACACTGAGCTCCCAGTGCATTCCTCCTTTACCACAAGACCCGTCTTGCGTGGCAGGAGATGCTCAGACGCCCTGCCCTAGTAGCTTCCTGGCCCACCCCCGTGGTGAGGAGCCCATTCTCTCCCAGGTGGGAGCCAGGAGCCCCCCTCCACCCCTTCTCCTCATGGGTCAGGGGCAACAGCAGGATGGAAGGGCTGGGACAGAAAGGTTGATACTCCCTTCTCCATTGGCCTCTTTGCTGGCTTGGGGTTTGTGTGGGTTCCATGCAAAGACAGATGGGATAGAAGGAAGCCGCTGGGGCGCAAACCCATTAGCTGCGTGGCCTGGAGTCCCCTTGGCTGGCTGTCTTGTTCCATTAGAAGTGGCTCTGCAGAAGTGAGCACTTTCAGAGCGGGGATTCACCAGGCGGCTGGCCGCTCTCTGAGAACAGGACAAAAACACACTTGACTGGCCTGGCTTCCATTTGCAGCCTCTCAGCCAGGGACCAATCACTTCCTGGATGCCCTGGAGCCATCATGGAACATCAGGTCCCGCATTTCTGAGCTGCTTTCAGCCAAAATTATTCCACTAAATGCAGATACGTGGCCTGCCTGCCAGGCCTCAGGCAGGCACTCCTTTTCCAGGGAGTGGACTCTGTGGAGTCCACTCTTTTAATCCAGTGAGGGTCCTTGTTGTGAGGAGTAAGGACCCTAGACCTCCCAACCGGGGAGAGAGAAGCCCCAGGTTCTGGTGGACCTGCTGCTGCCTCACTGTGTGATCTTGACCAGGTCACTGCATCAGAGACTCGGTTTCCTCGTCTACAGCCTCGATCAGTGGTTTTTCCAACTCAGGGTGTGCGTGTGGCTGGGCGGTGGGGAGGGCGAACAAGAAGCCTTCGGATCTCCTGCCCCGGGTTCACCCAGACCTGTTTGTATCGGCCACACTCATCAGCCTTCCAAACATGCTTTCTCTTGGAGAAAAGACTTTATGGCTTAACTTTTTAAAATCATTAAACAAGATGATCTTTAAGGTCTGTTCCAGCTCTAACACCTGTAACTTTTATTAAGTATTCTCTATAAAAATCTGCAAGGATAGTAATTTGGTTATCAATCACTACCTGGGCAGGAATTATCAGGGACAGAACCCAGGTCAGGCAGCTGGGTTCAGGAGGGGAGAAAGAGGTGGGGGCATTCCAAGGACACGCAGGGCTTGCTTCCTAGTCCAGACAACAGGCATCACACACACAGTCATGAAAATGGGGCCTAGATACTTTTGTCTGAAAGCCCCATAAATATCTTCTCAGTCATATATTTGGTGTTTCTGGAAATTGCTCCCTCCACTTAGATACTCCCCAGAGCAGAGACTGATTCTTACAATTTTTTTTTAATCTCCAGTGCCTGGTTCAATGAATACTTATTGAAATGAACTTCTCTCGAGCCTCTCAGCAAGAGTACACCAGAATCAACAAGCACATGGGGGTAGAGTATAAATCACCGAGGTGCGTATTATCACCTAGGTATAATAATAATAATATCACTACCTTACTGCCATAGAGTGCTTAAGAAGTGATTTTTCAAATCCAGAGCTCCTTTAATATTCACAAATATCACTGTAAGGTAGCCAGGGAAAAGTGTGTTACCCCAAAATAGAAAAAAGGGAACTGAGAGACCCATAAACCATAGTTCTTTGCAAAAGGTTAGAGTCCCCCCACCTCCATAGTATTGGGTTCAGTTCTCTTTACTCTGCAAGAATGAAAATCCAACAAGAGCAAAAAAGAGAGAGGCTCAAACACCAGAATGACAAGAGCAGGGAATGGGAGACAGAGCCCGCTGCTCCCACATCACAGCTCCCCCCTTCCCCTCACCCCGAAACTGTACTTACCCTAGACCCGGGTCACAGGAGGAGCACGTTTCCAGCACGAGTCCCCCTCTGACCCATCCTGGGCGAGGAAGACAGGATGCATAGAGACCTTCTATCCAGATGGTTCAGAGCCCAGCTCACCGCAGCTAACACCTAGGGGTCCTAGATGCCCTGTGTCATCCGGTTAATTGGGCAAAATGTTTTTGCCGGGTGGTTCCAGAGCCCAAGCCCACAACACTTCTCAGTGTCCGGGGCTGTTGAGCTTCCCCAGAGCTTGGCAAGCTTAATATAGCTCCCAGAGTGAAACTTGGCCCCGGCCTCTGCACACAGCCCAGTTGGCCAGGACCAAAGCTTTCAGCTGACCTTTCAACCCCAATCCCTCTGTACAGACATATGGTCCAGGAATAGCGGCCCTGCCACTCGCACAGCTAGGAAGCTGAATTTATTGGCTAGGTTTGGCTCAATCAGACCGGAGCATGGCTGCTAAAAGCAGCCTTGAAGGATGGTGCCTTGCCCACTCCCACCCACAAGCTCTGTCACTGTCTATCACCTCACCCTGTCTTATTGCTTCATACATAGAGCGCTTGCTGTTTGAACCATCTCGTTCCTTCCTTTGCTGTTCGTCCGTCTTGCCTGCGACAGGGTCACTGCCTTGGAAATGACCTTACTCAGTGCTTATCCCCAGAACCTAGGACAGCGGCAAGTACCGCTAGATACATAGCAGGTCCTCCTAAACGGTTATATGAGTGAACATGAGTGCCCTTGCAAGAGTTTACTTTCAGCCCAGAACTTCAGCGTTTCCTTCTGTCCCTAGCCCACGGGCTATGACCTGCCTTCCTGGAGTCCATTCACACGAAAGAACAAGGATAAACAAACCTCTTCAGGGTCTCACATTTTGAAGAGTACATGTCACCAGCCCTGCTGATTCCAGTAGGTGAGAGTGGCATAAATACGTGGCCATCTCCGTGGCTGTCTGGTCCCCACTCCTTTGAGTGGTCACACACTCTCATGGAACACGCGTGTGGGATGTTCAGGGGTCCCCTTCTTCTGCTCCCTTCAGTTCTGCGCTCGTGCCTACCACAGCCCCCACACGCTGCCTTGCAATTTACCTGCATGATGTGCCACGCCCCCTGAGAGACTCCTTAGGAGCCCTGATTAGTCATCTTTTAATCCTTGGCAGCCAGCCGAAGATCTTGGGGTCATGGACTGAGTCAGCACACACCACGGCAGCAGGTGAATGCAGCGTCATGAACACCGAGTGGGGGTCAGGACGCCTGGGCTCCAACCCTGGCTCTGCTGCCGATTGGCTGTGTGCGGTGGGACACGTCACTTCAGCTCACTGAGCCCTGCTACTTTATTCCGTGGGATGAGGACGATGTAGACAGTAGCGGTTCTCCGGTGGGCTTTGACCAGCTTCACAAGGGCCAAAATATGGGATAGGGGAGAAATGTATACTCTGAAGATCCTACGGGTGAAATCATCAGATTACAAACTGGGGTTAAAAGGGCCGGCCCAATGTGACCCATCTGCTTGACCTGCACATGCTTCAGATCTTTACATTTGAATGGCTTCAAGGGAAGGAGGCAGCTCCCTGCAGACCCCGCCAGCCCTGCTGATATATGTCCACCTCACTCATCCGCCTCTGCTGCCTGCCTGGCTGCGGCTTCCACAGTCCCGCACTCGATGACCGCCCCCAAGGTCTTCTCCAGATTCTCGGATCCCTCGATCGATAAGATTTCTGAATCCCTTACTGGCTCTAAAGTTCTGTGACTCCACATGGCTTTGCTTTTCAGACCCTGTGCACAGGAAGCCTCTTGAAAGGGATGGTCTAGGGATGGTCTCAGAAATCCTCCCTGTAGTAGGAAGATATACTGACACAACAGGAGTCCTGGCTCTTCTCCAAAACTATAAATTCCAAGGAAACTTCAGAATCTACTAATTCTGCCTCCAGATGTGCTGGCAGTTGGGGCAGGATGGTGTCGGCCCAAAAGTGAGATGCCCATAAGTGAGAGAGGAGAATGTGGTAGATGGTATTATTGTTCCTAATTTTTCATATCCTTTGCATTGTGTCTCCATAATACTTCCCGCTAAAACAGGCACTGCCTATTTCTTTTTTTTTTAAAGATTTTATTATTTTTTTTAAGATTTTATTCATTTATCTGACAGAGACACAGCGAGAGAGGGAACACAAGCAGGGGGAGTGGGAGAGGGAGAAGCAGGCTTCCCGCGGAGCAGGGAGCCCGATGCGGGGCTCGATCCCAGGACCCTGGGATCATGACCTGAGCTGAAGGCAGATGCTTAACGACTGAGCCACCCAGGCGCCCCCAGGCACTCTGCCTATTTCCCTGCCCTGTTAATGTTGGGGTGAGCCACACAGCTTGCTTAGGCCAATGGGATACCGGGGGGCATGACGCCAGCAGAGGCTTCACTGTACCCTACTGATTTCGTTTTGATTTTGCCCTCCTGCGTGACACCACGAAGAAAGCGCGCCCAGAGTAGCTGTTGCTCCCTTAGTGTGGGACTCGAGGAGCAGCCCTGCACCCAGCCTGCAGCCTCGCCCAGCTCCCCCACCATCTGAAGCAGAGCCATCCCAGCCAACACAAATTTGCGAGTGAGGGGGGAAAAATGTGTGTTTTTGTAGACCACGAGAACTTGGGGATTGTTACACAGCATCATTACATCAAGAGCTGACCACCACAGGAAAGGAAGGTGGACGGCCTCACTGCGACATTGCCAGAGGAAGCAAAAGGCAACCAGCCACCTGAGGGCTCCTCAGAGCAGCAATGCAGTGTCCCCCATGCACACACCTCCTCCCTCCCCTCTGCTGCAGCAGGCGCACTAGGAATTAGGGGAGGATTCCTTCTTGAGTTTCTAGTCTTTCCCTCTATCTCAGAGACAACGGGCCATGTTCTAGATCGATCCATGTGCCATACCTGCCCATTTCCCCACTCTGCAATAAGCTCCTGGAGAGCAGAGACCGCATTCTGATCATTTCCGTATGGCCCTCGGCATGTAGTAGAGCAGGAGGCACTTCACTGACTTGATAAACACTCATTATAGAATCGAGAACAGAGGGGGGTCTGTCCCCAGGATGACAAACGGCGCCCAGAAACAGTGAAATCACTGCCAGGGCTGAACCACTAAACCACACGGGTGGCCTCTGGGCCACAGTCCCTTGGCCCACGAGGCGCTGTCGGTTCTCTGGGGCTGCCGGGCCTGCGCACACACTTAACGAAGGCCCTGCAGGGGGCACGTCCCGTCAGCAAGTACACGTGAAGCACCTGCCGAGTGCCGGCTCGGCTCCAGGAGCAGCCTGGGAAAACCTATGCAAGATGGCTGGGAAGTCCCGCGAGAGGAAGGGCACCTACCTGGGAGCTGGGCGGGACGACCAGATTGATTCCTGGGGGCGCTGCCAGCGCTCCCGACGGCGGGCCCATGGCAGATGTGATGACTCGATATGGAGAACCCAGGGCGTTGAGGGGGGGCCCCACTGCACTCAGAGTCCGTGGGGCACTCACGGGGGTGTCCGTGTAGCTGGGGTGGCTGTCCATTGGCTTCCCTGTGGACAGGGCTGCCGATGGGCTCATGGACGTGGAGCTGGAGTGGCCAGGGGAGCCTGTAAGGAGAACATAGATGAGGGGAGACTGGGGGGGGGGCACAGAGATGGCCCCTGTGAGAACAGAGCCACCCCCCCCACTTGTGTCCTGTACCCTGCCCCTCGTGCTCACACCCCACACTGAGCTGCTAGAATAAAGGCAAGGGAAGAACAGACAGGGCGAGGGCCTGCTCTCGGACAGAACACGCATCAGTGTTTTAGTTGTCTGCTGCCCGCCTGGAACCTACCTCGGACTGGGTCACATCAACAGCCAGGGCCACAAGGGGCATTAGCCCACAAGCCCCCCCGGGGCTTAGGGGACTGTGGCCTGGGCCAGCCAGACAGGGAAGGGAAGTCAAGTCCAAACCCACATGAGGAGGTGAACTGAGCAGGTGCCTGAGATGCTCCGGAACGCCCTGTCTCACACTCCTAGTGCTCTGAGAGCTGGGGCAGGGCTGAGCCTGCAAGTCAGGAGAAATTCATTCACTCACATGCAATGAACATTTACTAAGATGCAGGTACAATTCCAGGTGCTGGGAATTCGGAGCCCAAGAGAACACAGTACCCACTGTCAGGGGTCACATTCCACCACGGCAAGGGGGGCGGGGGGCGGACAGAGGCTGTAGTCATACCTTTGGCCACCGTATCTTTTGCAGCTTTGTGCCCATTAAGGTCTTTGCCCTGCCTATCTCCACAGCATGGGGTTTTATCAGCACTCAGGGAAGAAGACTCAGGGTGGCTGGACTTGGCTTACTGGCCACAGAGGCCCAGGAAATCCAGTGCAGATAGGCCTGCCCAGGCCGTTCCTACCTGCAGGCACAGGGAGCCGTGGTCACAAGTGTCCACGGAACAGGCCCTGGGCACATGATTGTCTGGTACCACTTCTCCCGGGTAAGTTAACAAGTTCCCTTATGGTGAGCCGCAGCTCAAGATGACAGAGAAGGAGGTGGCCCGCTGTCCTCTCAGGAGCCCATCATGGAACATTCTCTCCAGAAGAGAGAAGCTATAAACCTCAGGATCCGTAGCAGCAAAGCAGAGACTGGAAAAGCAACAGGGCAGCCTACCCTGAATCACAGCACTGCTTCCCCGCGTGGTTCCCTGTTCATTCAAGGAGCAGCTCTCGAGTACCTGCTGCTACATGCGGGGTGCTGTCCAGACCCTTGGGAGACCTCAGGGATCAGTAAGTGTAGTGTTAGGAGCAGGATACAGGGAGGGATGGGCTCCCTTTGAGTGCTGGGGAGGGGCAACTGCACGTCAGAAGAGTAAGTGTGGAGCTATTCTTTTTTTATTACTGAGATAATAATGGACACGCAACACTAGGCGTGCAACATAATGATTCGTTATTGGTATATATCGCAAAATGATCACCACAAATAAGACTAGTTAACATCCGTCACCACGCACGACTAGAAATTTCTTTTCTTGTAATGAGAACTTTTAAGATCCACTCCCAGGAAATACAAGACAGTGTTATTAGCTATGGTCACCATGCTATAATTACATTCCCAGGACTTATTTATTTTATGACTTCAAGTTTGCACCTTTTGACTCCCTTCACACATTTCTCCCACCCCGATCCCTGCCTCTGGCAACCACCAATCTGTTCTCTGAATCTATGAGCTCAAGGTGGTGGTATTATTATTATTATTATTATTATTATTATTATATTCCACATAAGTGAGATCACACACTATTTTTCTTTCCCTGTCTTAGTTCACTTAGCACAATCCCCCAAGGTCCATCGTGTTGTCACAAATGACAAGATCTTATTCTTTCTTATGGCAGAATAACATTCCATCTCATACATATCCGTTAGCCATCCATCGGTGGACACTTAGTTGCTTGCACAGCTTGGCTCTTGTCAATAATGCTGCAGTGAACATGGGGGTGCATATATTTTTCTGAGTTAGTGTTTTCTAACTAGTATTTTCTCTGTGCAACTACTCTTTTTTTAAAAGATTTATTTATGGGGTGCTGGGTGGCTCCGTTGGTTAGCGGTCTGCCTTCAGCTGAGGTCAAGATCCTGGGGTCCTGGGATTAAGTCCCACGTCAGGCTCCCTGCTCAGCGGGAAGTCTGCTTCTCTCTCTCTCTCTCTCCCGCTGCCCCTCCCCCCACTCATGCTCTCTCTCGCTCGCACACTCTCTCTCTCGCTCATTCTCTCTCTCTCTCAAATAAATTTGAGAGAGAGAGAGAATGTGGCAAGGGGAAGGGCAGAGGGAAAGAGACAATCTAAGCAGACTCCTGCTGAGCATGGCTCGTGACCTGAGCCAAATCAAGAGTCAGACACTTAACCGACTGAGCCACCCAGATGCCCCTCTCTATGCAACTACTCTTAAACATAAATATTCCACTAGAAAAATGTCAACCTAGAGTTTCTCTTGAGCTTCTGCTAACACGGTTAAGGTCTCCCCGTGGAGAGAAAAGTCACTGCCACGGTCAAGGGCAGTGATGGCCCCTCCAGCATTCTACCCAGGGAGTTTCCATCTATCAGGGACAATTGTCTTATATAAACAGATAAATCCCAATCACCTGTTCTAAGTAGCACAACTGAGGATGAACCACATTCTGTGGGTCCACAGAGGAGTGCCCACGGGGTCAAATGAGCAGCTCAGACCCTTATCACGTGTCCTGAATAGCATTAGGCAAATTCCATACTTCAACTCATTTCATCCTGACAGTAAGCCTGTGAGGATCACTTTAGCTTTTTACAGATGAGAAAACTTATGCTCAGCTTCATCCCCATGCTGCTCCCTGTTCTGGGATGATTTGCTCTCCCCTCCATTTCTAGCAAGTTCCTATTCATCCTTCAAGGTCTAACTCAAGGAAGTTGAGTTCTTCTTCCAGGAAGCCTTCCCTGGTGTTCCTGGTCTGGTTTGATGCCCCTTTCCATTTTCTAACACAGTAAAGCCTGTGCTTTACTCATATCTTAGCACTTATTATACTGTGTCGCCATATTTCTTTATTTCCCTGTCTTTTCCATTAAACTGGGAGAGGGAGACAAGTGTCCAGTTTTGCTTCCCCACCCCCAGCAGGGTCCCTGGTCCTGCCCGGGTGTTCAGTGACAGAGCTTAGATTCCAACTGTCAACGTGAAGCCCACATTCTCCCCTGTGTGTGCTGTCAAGGACAGCGAGGATGATTTGGAGAGCCATCACCTCACAAAGTACAAGATGACTCAATTATGAAGGGATCTCAAGCTGAAAGTTTATCTGAAGGAGAGAGAAAAGGGCAGCTTCCAAGAACTCGAGCCAGAAAAACCAAAAATCTTCCCAGATGGCCACTGATTGGAAAGAACAATTTTAGACTCTTCTGAGGCCCTGGAAGGCTGTGACATTTAAAGAGGCCAATGTATATCTTGAGCCTGTTCCTAAGATAACATGTGACAGGTGAGCTGGGAGCCAGCCCGCCCTGATGGGCGAGGAGCTGTGCTCTCCCCGCTGGGACGGCCCCACAGCCCGGCCACCTGAAGGAAATCGCTATGCCCTTCCGGTTTCAGCTTTCCAGAGACAAACCAAAGGACCCCACTACACTCCTTTTTATTCTGCTTTACATGGATCTCAGAGAGCCCCTGTCTTTCCCTTCTGTACCCCGACAGCAGGCCCAGAGCGTGGGACAGACACGGACGAGAAGTCACTTCGCACATTCATCAACCCCAGAGTTCCCACGGTATGGAGCCCGTAACACAGTGATAAGGGACATTTTAGGTGGTACTTTAAGTGGCAAACTCTTTAAAAATATATATTAATAGTTCTATAATTATTTTTACTGTTTCCTTCTATTTATAGCAAGTGACTGGGCTGCTATTTTTGCATAAGATTACCTTTCTAAAAATAGCTATTTAAGTTTTCAAAAAGAGAGTAGGGGTGCCTGGGTGGCTCAGTCGGTTGAGCATCTGACTCTTGGTTTCAGCTCAGGTCATGATCTCCGGGTCATGAGATGGAGCCCTGCACTGAGCTCCATGCTCAGGGAACTCTGCGTGAGGTTCTCTTTCTCCCTCTCCTTCTGCCCTTCCCTCTGCTCACACTCTCACTCTCTCTCTCTCTCTCTCTCTAAATAAATCTTAAAAAAAAAAAGAGTAAAGTGACCTAGGACAGAGTCTAAGTACAAGGATACTCCATAGGCAGAACACATGGGAATATCGTGTAAAGGGATGGTGTGTAGGAGAAACACTGACCTGCACAAAAACATAGGAACACGGGCTTTGGGGAACTCACAAGTTGTTCCAAGAATAAAATCAGATGATGTGAGGGTGACTGAAATGAAAAGTATACTGTTTTTATTAATAATAATAATAATAATGAGGAGGGCAATCAGAATATGCCTTGGCTGCTCAGTGAGGAGCATGATATGGCTGAGACAGACTGAAACAGAGTTAAAGCTTGGTTTGCAGTGGCCTTAAAATATGGTTTACTTCTGCTGAGTCAGTGATCCAGAAGAGGTGGGCTACTTTAAAACCATATTTACAAAAATAATAATAAAATTCAAAAGGATAGATATAACTTACAGGATTGCAGGTTGGTCCTGTGCCTCGCCCATGACCCAGTGGTTCTTAGACATGAATGCTTTGCTTTTAGAAAAGGCGAGAAGCTGTGCCCTAAGGACAGACGTGTTTCTCCATGGGAAATTAACCCGTCCTGGACACCTGAGCCGAGCTGTCCACGGCGCTTCCATCGGCCTCCTTCCCTCTCTTCTCTTTTTCTCAAGCCACATGGGAACCACAGCCAGGACCAAAAGCCACCACATGTTTTCCAGAAACCTGGCTTCTAGCCCAGATCCAAAGTCAAGGTCTCCTCTGATGCTTCCTTCCCTCTTGCCCCTTCGGACCCTTCCTCCCGGCCCCCGCACCCCAGCAGCCTGGCTCTCTCCCTGACCCTACACCCTCCTAATCCTCTTTAGCCACCTGGAGCCAGCCTGTGCCCACTGCCAGACGCCTGCGAAATGCACAAGCCCTCTACTCCGTGGAGTTGATGCTCTTTGCTCAGGCAATGATTTGTTTAAATAAAAACTAACTCATCTGACGGG